ACAAAAACTCTATACAACAGAGCATTTACATCTTAGACTAGACTCAAAGACATTGGTTGAAATGGCTTAAAATGCCTTCCACAGACTCATCTTCATGATGCCGCTCGGCTCCTATATAGCTCCCCAAACATTATCTCCCAACATTATGTTTTTCCCTGGCATAATTCATCTCAGCTACATCTCATAGTTCGTCTCATCTAGCATCACCTGAGAGCACATCCAGCTTCACCTATTACTTGACTCCTTAAGCCTTGGGCCCCTCTCCTTTATTTTCCTCATGCTTCCTTTCTTTAGTTCTGTTTTGAATTCTCATCACTTCTTATCTGAGCTATAGTAACAAGCCCTTCCACCTGATCGCCCAGTCTTTAATTTCTATGTTTTACAGTTTCATGAAAGACCTCCAACACATACCTGTGACCAAGTATACCTTGCGGTCCATCTGTCCTTCATCAGTACTCCACTAGAGAACAGAGTCAAACCCTAACTTAGCAGCTCTCAGCAAACCACAGGCTGAACCTGGCCAGCAGCTTGTCTTTATTTCTGCCACAGTCTCACCAGTCATGTCAAAAACCTGACAGCTGCTGTAAACTTCATAGGTTGGTCTTTTTTTTTTTTTTTCTTAATCTCTCAGATTTGAACATGCTCTTCTTCCTACCTAGAACTTCCTCTTACTGTTACTTAAGGCTACTCTCAAATGGTACCGTCCCTTAAAGCTGCCGGTGCTAGCTCTCCAGTAGATACATGCTCTCACCTACTTTCTCACAATAGTTTCATAAACCCATGACAAAATTTCACCATACTGTATTTTTTTGACTTTTATATTCTACTACATAACTTCTTTTAAGAACAAGAACTATGTTAGTTATCAGAACGTGTATGCATTTGTAAGTAGGAATGAGGGCCCATGTACACCACTGTGTACAGAGGAGGTCAGAGGGCAACCTTGAGTGTTGGCCCTAACCTTCCACATTACTTGAGGCAGGATCTCTTTTGTTGTTCACTGTACACCAGGGTCTCTGGTTCATGAATTTCCATGGATTCTCTTGTATCTACCTCCTACTCACCATAGGAGTACTAGGGTTACAAACATACACACTATTGTGCCCAGCTTACATGAGTTTTGAGGATTTGAACTCACGTCCTCACTTTTGTGACAAGTGCTTTACCCACTGAGCCTTTGCTGTGGCCCTTGAAAATGGTAACTTTTGAAGATGATGTTTTCAGCCTGAACTAAAAGGCTTGGTTTTGCAGTACTAACTTTGTATTAAATGCATCTAGATGTACATACTGGCAGGATAGCTGAGACCCCAAACCAAAGGGCTGGCAAGTTAAGTAACCAGAAGTAGAATATACCGATCTCAAAACCATCCAACAAACCATATCGTGAATATAAGGTTGGAACAGTCTCCACTTATGAAGCGAGTGCTGTACATTCCCTCACCTGCTTCTGGTAGGCAGGTGTTATTTATATCAGCAACAAGTGACCTGAGAGCTGCGGATGCAGCACAGTACAGAAGACTGGAATTAAATTCTTTGAGCGAAGTTTGTCAGTGTGCGAACTGAACCGCACACCATAGTCTCCTCAGTCCCCTACAGATAGGCAAAGCCATCTTCACTGGACACAGTTTACAGAGGTTCAGAGAGCAACAGGACATAAAGGAAGAAAGCCTGGTGAGAAATGGATTTCAATGCAAAGTCAAAATTAAGAAGGGTTTACAGATATCTAGAAATACTGACAGAGGCCAAAATAATTGGTTCCCAGGTTAGAGATCACCTAGAATTTGAGATTGTACCTCAGGAATTCTCACATTTAATTTACAATGAGAAGATTTTATGAAGAGGAGCCATGGGAGTCTGTAACTCAGGAATCAGGAAGGAATAAAAAAATTAGAGGAAAAATGAGAAAGTTAAGGGTAAGGGTCTTTCAAAAGCAGTTACATAGTGGCAGTCTGGATATCACTCAAAGTGGTCATGCTAGATAGAGGAGCAGAGTCAGGCAGCTTGCTGCTTCCTTAAACTTGTGATCTAATACCTCTAAGCATTACAGAAGGATGGGGGCCAAGGAGCTGTTGGTTTGGCTCCAATGTGGCCTCTCATTTATCCAAGGTCACTGGTTTCACTGGTATATTTTGATCTTCCCCATGGGGAGAGGTAGCAGGAGGTTCATGTGCAAGTCAGAAGTAAAAGAGACCTTTAACTTCAACTTAGATGCCTGGCCATAAAAAGTAAAAATGCAGGACTAGGAAGGTAGCTCACTTGGTCAAGGGTGTGCACTTGAGTCCTGAAGTATATGACTTCAATCTCCAGAACTCACTTAAGAAAAGCTGGGCATGGTGGTGTGCAATGTGCAACCTCAGTGCTGGGAAGGTGGAGAAAGGCAGATTCCTGGGACTTGGCCAGCCAGCCTAGTCCGCTTGGAAAGCTCCAGACCAATAAAGATATTTCCCCCCTTCCCCAAAAAAGTGGATGGTAAAGGTAACCTAATATCAAGCCCGATAACCTGAGTTTGATCCCTGGCACCCACATGGTGGAAAGAGAGAACTGACTCCTACAAGTTGTTCTCTGACCTCCATACAAGCATTTTGGCCTGAGCATGCCTCATCCCCAAATAAATAAATAAAACATAAAAAAGAAAGGATGGATGATTCCTAAGGAATGGTATACAAGGTTGTCCTCAGACTTCCAGATGTATCCATGCACCACACAGGGATGTGTACTTACACACTTGCAACCATATGAATGTGTTCACACAAATATACATGTGTAAAAGTGAAAAGGCAAATGAGTGGCTTTTGGAAGAGATGCTCTTCTGTCTTGATAAGAACCTGAGCACAAATCAGGTGTCAGAGGAAAGGAAGAGATGAGATGAGGAATATCTGGATACTTCTGAGAGTATCTGGGATCCAACTGCCCTATTTGTTCTAACAAAGTATTCACATTTGCAAGACAACTCTCTTAACTCTCTTTTCTACACAGCCTTGATGAAGGGCTTTTATCAATGATTGCAGCCTTAACTGAATTAGAATCTCTAGGGAATCTAAAAAAAAAAAAAAAAAAAAAAAAGAAAGCCTGCTGACTCTAGGTGCTCCCCTAGAGATTCTGATTTAATTAGTCTGGCCTGGCAACAGTATTTTTCAAAGCTGCCAAGTTATTAAGTACTGCAAGAGTTGAGAGCTAACTACTGTGGTAGATAGGAAAAGGAGATATGGAGCTAGGGGAAATTCAATAAGTAGTCACCTTCAGTTTATTAGCCATCAGAACTAGACAGTGTTCCAGAAAGTGTGGCATGCCCATGGGTAGGTCTTGAGATGCACTTTGATTCGGTAGCGTGTGGACAGGCCTTCTCTTCATGCATACAAAATATTTCCATAAACGCATACATATGTGTAAGTGTCTAAATACATTTGAATAAATAACTTTATAACCAACAATATCAAATATGAGGTTTCATGTATACTACTGCTGCTGATGAAGCTAACTTCTAACTGAAGTTTAGAAAGCGAATCTATATATATGAACGTTCTGTAAATTTCAGTATAGGTAGAAATGAATAAGGAGGTGGGAAAAACTAGTAAAAGTTAAGGCAAACTCTGAGAATTTGAGGAATATGGCAGGAAAGGAGCCCAGCATCTATGAACTCTTCCTCTCCAGACCTTTCTGTTTTAAAGGTTGTGTCCCTCCCACAGCCTGGAGGCTGGTCCAATGCCATCTTTTCCTGTTCTCACATGAATGCCTGTGCTGCATCTCAGTCATTCTGATGCTGCTGAACAAATGCAAACCAGAGTCTTTTAGCCTCATGGTCACTATCTGATCACAGATGCCACAGCCTGTAACTCACTTGTGACTCTTGTTTCAGATTAAAATCTGAGCTTAACTTAACTTTAGATAACCTGGCTACTTTAATATAATAGGAAAAGAAAACCAATGCTCACAATGTGTTCCAGCCCCACAGCACAAAAGGGAAGCTGAATGACCCAAATCTAGGTTCTGCAAACTCACAGGAGAGGATGAGGGTTGACATGAAAACCCCAAACCGAGCAAACAAAACCAGCCTGCAGGAAAGGCGCTGCTTTGCTAATGCTTCAATCTATTTGACATTCCTCCGGGCATGATGCAACCTTAGTTGCCCAATTTATATTTGCACATTCCCCCCTTGTCCACGAGGAGCTTCAAAAGCTTCCAACTCTATAACATTCCTTTTAATAAGTTCAAATGTCTAGCTCAACAAGGTTGGTGGGCAGGCCTGTGACCCCACCTTTACTGAGGTTCATTTCAACCAAGTGTGCTGGGGAGGTTAGGGTTTGAAGGTAACCTAGAAAAGGACAGGTGCAAAGGCAGGTCAGTGCCCCTCTCCACCTTTCCCCACCACTCTCACACCCTCTTGATTAGACATTGCCAACTGCACCTACATACCTCACCTTTCTCCCTGCCCTGCCTCCTGCGCCCTCTTCTTCCCCAATCCAAAGGGCACTGACGATGGCAAGGGTGAAGTGAAAAGCATGCCCAGGGCTTCAGCCTCCTCCTCCTTTCACTGGCGCCTCCCGCCCTGGCTTTCCACACCCTGGCAGCCTCCTGGTCACCAGGCCATCAGTACACCTTCACACCACCCAACAAAATGGCAGAGTAGCGACAGGAGAGGCTGAGGTCGCTGGTTCCTCTTTTACCAGCGCGGCCGCTGGCCAAAGCCCCAAATCCCTAAGCCTCTCCAAGCATACACATTCTTCTCATGTCCAAGTCCACAATCCCGAGCTCCACCAGATCGCCTGCTCGCTCTCTAGGGGACATTTCCATTCCAGGCCATGAGCAGGTGCCCGCGTAACAGGTGCCAGGCAAAGAGGCCCCGGCGCAGCGTGGAGACGATCCTGAGACCCGGCGCAGGGAAAAGCCAAGTCCAAGGTTAGGAGGCTGAGGGAGAGCGCAGAGGGACCATCCCGGGCGGGGGGCAAGGATGCTGCCTGTCCCTGTTCCCCCAGCACAGTCGCCCACGCTGCCCGACTTACAATCTCCAGGCAGACGAAGGCGCCGGAATAGGTCCTCAGGATGTCGGGGCCAACAGGCAGGGTGACCCGGGGCGCCGGGAAGGACACGACAGGGTTCGGGGGCGGCGGGACTGGCGCTCCGCCGGCCGACATGCTGCCGCTTTCACGTCTCCGCCCGCCGCCGCCGCCGCCGCCTCCTCCCGCGTCCCGCCTCCTCCTCCCAGGCTCTCTGCAGCCGCCGCCGCCGCCGATCCGGTCTGCAGGGTCCGGCAGCAGCGCGCGGAGAGGGTGTGGCCGCGGGAGGAGAGCCCGCCTGCCGGCCCCACCCCATCACATGGTTCAGGTGAGCACGCTCCGCCTGGAGGCCACACAGGTCCCGGGCACAGGTGCAGTGGCCCGAGCCTCAGTGCCAGCCAGGTTCCTCTTCTCGCCTGTCGCCCCTGCGCTCCCTGTCCACCCGTTCCCACCTGTTCCCACCTGTCCACGGCCCACCCACCCACTCTCACAGCGCGTCCTCTGCCACTTTCCCCAGTTGGACAGGAAGACCAGGCCTGTGACCCAGAAGGTAAACTTGATGTCTCCAAGCACACCTGAAAAGTAGGGTGCGTTTGATTTAAAGGGAACTCTAGTGAGATTCTAGATACGACCTGTGGTCGCGTGGCACGTTGGAATCGGATGGCTCAGCTCCAGCATGTGGCAGTGGGTCCAGGCCGGCTGGCTGCTTTGAGTTCTGAGGTCTACGTTCTGGGAAATAAGGATCCGGGTGTCTGCCATGATGTATAGATACTGAACTCAGCATAAGGGAAGTGCTCTTAGTGCCCTTGCTGGCAGGATGGCAGCTGTTTTCTAATTTTCACACCCACCTCCCTGTTTATGGATGCACGATGTCGCCTGTGTTTCCACATGGAACCTTAATTCTTGATTTCAGCTGTCAGAAATACAGTTGCAATTTCCTTTAAACACTTAAAAGGATTTTTAAAAACAACATTATATACATAATTTGGGTCCTCTGCCCCAATTTACCTCCTGTATCCCTATTTTATTCTTGGTTTTGGTGTCAATGTTTTGTAAACAGATTAAATGAAAAGTTTTTTTGTTTTCAAAGAGCATTTGAAAATAAATTATACACATCAGCACACATCTCTATCAAGTTGGAAACATGTTAGCTAAGCCGGCCATGGTTAGTACATGCCTGTAACCTCAATAGTTAGTTGGGAGACTGAGGTAGAAAGATTGCCAGCCTAGGCTACACAGCCAATATTAGAACAGCTAGGGGTATACAGCATGATTGTGTCTCAGAAACCCACAAAACAACAGACATACCCATACCTGTGTGTGTGTATAATATATCTATCTATGTATGCTTATTGATACGAGGGAAATCAGGTGCCCTCTTGAGGTTCTTGCTCTCATTAATAAAAGAGTTTAAGATTGCACTCAAATGGAAGCTTGCAGGCATGCTGTGAATTCCAGCAGCTGCTCAGAGGAGAATGGGAGGAAAGAAGGGAAGAAGCCATGTGGTTTGAGTGACAGGCATGCAGGTCCACCACATGACAGCAGGAAATCACTGGTGGGGAGGAGGACTGTAGAAAAAGAGTAAAGAAACCCAAAGGACCAGAAAAAGTGTGCTTCATTTCCTGTCAGCATCTGAAACAGACAGAAGGAAAACAAAGGTGGCAGACATAATGAACCTCATGGAAACTTATAGAGACTATGCTGAAGGAAGGGAATTCTGGGAAGGAAAAGTACAGCTGCTCATTAAAGGAATGATTATTCTACCTGTCTCTCTAGCAAGGCTTAAGGTGAACCCACCTTCCTAAAAGTGATCCCTTGGTCAGGTAATTGACCTAGCCCAACTGGTATGAAGGTCTCCTGTCAGGCCACAGAGTCTATTCTCTTAACAGAAGGAGTTTTCCTTTAATGGGTCTTTATTGTTAGTCTAACAATATTGACTAATAATCATCAGATGTTCTCCAGCTTGAATCCTGTTCTGGTCTATCAAGTTTACTCTTTGAGGAACTGTGCATACTTCTTTTGTAGGGATTGTCAGCAGTTTTGTTACTCTACGTCTTTAGTATTTTAATAAGTGAAACTCATAGGTGTGGTGGAGGCATCAAGTTGAAAAACCACAAACCAGGGTGTGGGTGAAACCTTTTGTATGTACCTCCTGTCATGTCTACCTGTTAGTCATCACATTCTGACATTTTGTGTGTTGATTATCTAATAGGAAATCTTAAATTTTCTTCATGATTCATTTGATCAATGAACACTTTCTGGGCCCAGACAGACCCTGATTGGCAGGGAAACTATATTTTATTATATTTTATGCTCTGGAGTACTCAGTAACCATTTAACAGATATTCAAAAGGGAGACCACTTCAAAGAATTCATTATGGGGATGCTCAGTAACTACATACAATGTATCCAAAGTATTGTACCAAACTTGAAATGCCCTTGGAATTTCCAGAAGTGCTAATGACTTAAGATGCTAACATGAGTTTATTTTAAAATTGTCACCAAAGATTGTTCTAAAGTTTGTGTTTTAGCTAGACAATAATGCTGAACGAATGAGAAGAAATCTAGACCATTCCAACCTTTCCTACTTCTCATTTTACAAGGAGTTTTAAATATCTATCCAGGCATATTTGTTTTATTGAAAACACTGCCATTAATCCAGTTATTCAAGTCAAACACATGTCTATTTCCATGTTACATCCTTCTCATGTCATGTTTTTAATCAGCTACCAGATCTGACAGGCCACTGATTTTACTCTCTGGGGTATATTCACTTCTCTCCATCCCACTCTACCTCATAGGACACTACCCCTTCACACAAGGGACACTCTATCTTGATTTTCTCTCTTGCGATTTCCAAACACAAAATTGACCATAAACTGTTTCCTGAGTAATTCCTTTAGGTCATAGGGACAACAATTTTTGTCAGCCTTCCCCTGTCCAAGATTTCATAGGGCCCCTCCCTTCCTGTATGCCTCCATAATTTGCTGTCCTTATTCCCCATGAAGCCCTTAACTGACTGAACTGAAATGGTGTTTTCACTTGTCTCCTTATCTCTTATCTAGGGTTGTGTAACAGAATATTAATTCAAAAATTCAGTGGACACCAAGAAATGATGGTGTCAGATAGCAATGAGAGCTGTGGGTCAGACCATCAGACATTTTAAAGTGGGAATGATGGCGAGCTCATTAGACAATCTGTGAACTAGTCCCTTCTATCAAGAATATTTAAATCTGAGGAATGAGAGGACTTAAAAAGAGGATTGGGGAGAGGTGAAAGAGTCATACTTCATTCTTTCTGTTACCACTCTCCCTCCCCCATTACAGGAAGTAATTGAACTTTATCCACATTGCATAATATAAGTTCAAGTAGTATCAGCCAGCCAAGTGAACTCCACATCAGAATTTCTTTACCACATCACTATTACTTTCTTTCTTCCTCTTTCATTAAGTGTTTCTTTTCATTTGTGAATTGACGCTCTTACTGTTCCCTTATTTCTCCCCTTTATGTTTCCTTTAGGAAGCTAATCCATTCTTTTTCCCTTCTCTCTTCATTTTCTGATTTTTCACTTTCAACTCAGTCTATCTTCCTGTATAAACATCAAATTTCCCTTACTACCAAAACCAGCAATACCCAATTTCTGCCTCAAACAATATAACCAAAATTTGGTATTAGGGATTTGCCGTCCCTTGTAGGACAAACTAAAATCCAAGGGAACATATGTGTAACAATGTGATCTCACTCCTGACAAAAATCCTAATAAAAATCATCAAAAGGCTCAAGTTATTTAAGTGGATTACAGATCAGTACTTAGGAGTCTTAAAGGAATAAAAAAAATATCCAGCAACCAGCAAGTTTGTAAGATCTGGTATCCATTTAAAAATGGCCAGGCCTATGAAGAAGCAGGTGCAATGAGACATAATGAAGGTTTAATCAGTCATCATACACAGACCCAGCGATCACTGAGATGACTTTTCATTAGGAAGAACTTTATGATAGTTATAATCGATGTGTTTTATATGTTAAAAGAAAGACAATGCGAGAGATAAATAATGCCTAGCTAGTTTTTAAAAAACCAGAGGGAACCATATTAGTCCAACAACATACTGAAAAATTATACATACAACTGGATCAAAGAATATATGTGTAGGCAAGGTTTATCTGAGAACGTTTGGTCTTTGCCCAAGCTTTGTCTACACAGCACATGGTAATTAAAAGTACCAGACTGGTGGAACTAACCTTCTTGGATGTTTAACAGCCATACTTTGAGGCCTATACTAATTTGGTCAGAGGGACAAAAAGGAAAGTTTTTTCTCCTTGCCCTCCTAGGTCAACTAAGTTCCAGGGGACTATGAGCATTTCTCAAAATGTCTTGTAACTGTGGTGAGTCATTTGTCCTCTTGATCAATGAGGCTGTGGAGACCCCACCAGATGGACTTGAAGCAGTGTTCAGTCTACAACAAAGAGGGTCAACACAAAGGAACCATTTCCTCCATGCTTCCAAGTGAAGTCAGCCATGGTCGAGTAGGACCTTTGACTTATCTTCACATAGATGGAACTGGTAAAAGAAAGGAGCCAGGGACTCCTCCCAAGCCCATATGACCCCCGAGGAACAGATCCTCAAACAACCTTAAGAATGAAATTAAATTTGTTTATCTCAGCCAGTTGTAGGGTCTTAAACACCCAAAAGGAAAGTATAACCAAAGATTAAAGGGGTCAATGTAAGTTTTTAAGAGTCTATATGTATAGCTAAAGGCTACATAACAAGAAACAATGCCAGACAGGAGATACCTTCCTTTGAGTTATTGGCCAGGGTGACCCAAAAGACTCCCAGACAGTAACCCAAGATAGACCTGGGAAAATGAACAGCAGACCCCAATCTTATCTAAAGGAATATTGACAACTGATTGCTGCTAGGTGAGGAACAGCTGATCTTTCTAAAACAAGGATCTCTAGATAAGCTAACTAGATTCAGCAGACTGACAAGCACTGGGGAATGGCTGGGGGTGCCAACAACACAGTAGACAGTAACAGGGATGACAGAGTATATGGGATCCAGTTGGGGGGAGCTTTGGGATGGTGCCATTTGAGAAGTGGGTATATAGATGAATACGATTGTTTGGGATGATCTGTATGATATACATACAAAAATAACAAACAAAAAAGAGACATATTTGAGGAGGAAGCATAAAAATTTACTGCATGTTAATTAGTAGAGGTGATAAA